CCCCGCCCACAGCCAGGAGAAGTTGTAGAGGTAGAGACCCCACCCCCCGGCTCTACAAAGCTGTCTCTCCTGCCCAAAGACCTCATGGCCTCCAACCGGTACCCAGGATTGGTGCGTTTTGTGTACGGCCACCACCCACCTCGCCTCACTCCCTGCTCCAACATGTTCACGCTGATTGACACGTTTGAGGAAAGCTCACTCATTGGCTGCCTGCTCTACCCAAACCACGCCCTTATGATAGAGCTGCCAATGACGTCATCGTTAGGGTTTCAAGTGAGTTTTTAAGTGTTTTTCACCATGTACGCGTAAAGGTTTTGTGTTGTTGTTGTTGTTATTGTTGTTCTGAGAATTGTGCAAGTTTTGCGCGTTATAGATCCCTTGGTGGTCCAAAATCGATAAGAGTACGCTTCGGCGCGCTCATATGGCCTTATTGTGCAGTTGCGAGCGCCGTAAAACACTTACCAATACAAACAACATGAGTATGTTTTTGCTCTATTCGACATAACATATTATTTATATAGAATCTAAGTTGTTGCTGTCGTCATCATTCTTGTTGTGGGTTTTTTCCTCCCTTGCCATCATTATTGTCGTGTAGGCTACATGCAGTTGTGATTGCTATTGTCATCGTGGTAATCTGTCCCCGTGGTTTTATGTACCCCGAATAATTTTACCAAATTCGATCCTTTTTAGCATAATTTCCGATTATTTTCCTTTATCATTCTTTGTTAAAATTAACAGAATCGTATAATTTCACAGTTTTTGGCTTAGTTTGCATAATTTCAGAATTTGTCTTGCATAAAACGACGGGGACGGGGTAATGATGGTGATGGTAACGACAATATGTAAACATAAAGAGGGTATGCGTGAGCGTTATCTTGTGCGGGGAATTTCTTTAAAAACACTACGAAGAGACGGAAGAAATTATCACTTCTTAATTATATACCTTTTTTAATTCATTGTTTAAACAAGCTTTATCTATTTTTTTTAATAGAACTGAAAAGAAAAAAACAATAATAGCAACATTATTTATGGCAAGAGTTATTTCAGCCAGCTGTAAGGCCTTTACAGTAGTAGGTCCTTAAGAAAACATCCAAACAGTCTATTTATAAAAATAGATAGCATTTGTATAGCGCATATCCCCGCTCAACAGCAAGCTCTACGCGCTTCACAATCTATACTATTACCCCAGCAGACCTGAGAGCATTTTGAAACAACCTCAACTTCCTGGGAAGCGTACAGTTCAAGCAGCCATTTATAGACGCTAAAACACTAACATACTGACAAGATCTTTCGCTGTCTATGGCCGGGTACCCATTCCTACCTGGGTGAAGTGAGGAAAATTTATATAAAGTGCCTTTCCCAAGGACACAACGTCGGGCCTGCGACTCGAACCCCCGAACCCGTAACCTCACGATTACGAGTCCGGCAGCCTAACCACTAGGCCATCGACGCCTATTTATACCTAAAATTTATTTTTTCAAGAGCTGTACGAACAGTAGCCTGTATGACACGCTTTGGCAGTAGTAATAGTTTTTTATTTTTTATATATTTTATTTCAATGGCATCGCAAACATGCTAATGGCCCGTAAACGTAAGATAAGAAGGCACCGTAGTGTGTTTGTGCTGTTATGGCAGATTAATGCGTGCCTGCTTTCATTTCAAGGAGCACCAGTAAGGCGCTTCATTTGCACAGCTCTTGAGAATACTATGGTGACAGGATGAAGTTATCCCAAGAACAGAACAAACCAATGGGACTTAAAAAAGACTTTCATAAAATCAGCCAATCAACCAACTTATCAATCAATCGATCACTCAATCAATCAATCAGTCAATCAATCGATTGATCGATCAATCAATCAATCAATCAATCAATCAATCAATCACCCACTCACTCATTCTCTCATCCACCCATTCACTCACTCACTCACTCATTCAATCACTCACTCACTCACTCACTCACTCACCCACTCACTCACTCACTCACTCACTCATTCACTCACTCACTCACTCACTCATTCACTCACTCACTCAATCAATCAAACTTTACCATCTTAAAAAACATGTTATTTCACGACCTGTACTTTTTGCTGTATCACCAGGTGGCGCTGAACAAAGAGGAGTTGCTGGACATGCACGTGCCCCGCCAGGCCCTGAATGTGGTCAAGACGCGCAGTGACACGTTCATGCGGGACCTCAAGCTCAAGTGTAAGTTCCTGCACCGAGTCAGCCCGAGCCTGGCTCCAAACCTCATGGGACAAGAAGGAGAGGACGACATGCCCAGCGCCACCGTCAGAACGAGGCAGTATGCAAATGAAGCTTTCTTTTATTTGTAGATTTTTTTTTAATTGGTTGTGTTTTTATTGTGGGGGGGGGGGGGTTGTGTGGATAAATCAGATGTTCCGAGCTGTATTCAGAGCGTAGAAGAAATCAAATTATGACACTATTGTAGGTAGGTCTTTACTCACCGGAGTTTTCTACTCGACTGGCCGTGTAGAGTCACTACAAGATTGTTATAATTTGTTTCTTTTGCCATAAACCCAGAACTGCCTCCATAAAGCAATTAATGAGGTGTTCATGTTTTAGCTCCCCCAGAACAAGTGTCTCAAACTCGAACACTGAGACGCGTCAGTTATACTGTCCCCGCGGTTTTAAGCATACAAAAAAAAATTATGAAATTATGCAAACCGAGCCCAAGATTGTGAAATTATGTGATTCTGTTAATTTTAACAAAGAATGATAAAGGAAAATAATCAGAAATTATGCACACACAAAAACGATCAAATTGTGCTAAATTATGCGGCGTGCATAAAACCCCGGGGACAGGTTAGATATTTAATCTTGCATCTACTTCATTTCTAAAAATGAGCTACCAGGCTGCGTTTTGGAGACCAATAATACATGTATTTATAACACATAACAGTCTTTTAGGTCCTGATGTTGAAGTCAAAACCTCCGGACTTGATTAAGACAGAAACAAAGACACAAAATTAATCAACGGTGCTAAACTTAACGCAGATCAATGTTAACACAATTTTACTGTGAGCTTAAGCGGAGACGTAACACAAGTAATGTATGCACCTAACGCGGTAACAGTAAAATTAATGTTGATCTCCCCTTTCTTTAAAATGTGAAAAGGACGCTCTGGAATCTGGCGCTTGTCAATGTTGGGGAATATGGAGTTATTGGTATCTTGATTTTGATATTTTAAACAATCATTTATCTTAGAGATACTAGTTGAGATATTGGCGATTGAAGGAGATGGGGGTGGTTTCAGAGGTAAAATTAGCGGGAAAATGGCCGCCAAAGTTCAGTTATTTCCTCAGCTTGAGAGTCCGTGGAAACTGAAAATTTACATCTTTAATGCCTTTAATCAATGTTTTTTAGTAAAATCCAGACAGAAATGTGTTCATTTAAGGGCTTGAAAGGTTTTGAGCCAAAAAACAAAAATTCGATAAAAATTCCCAAGCTTTCGGAAAAATGCCAGTTTCTTGACTTTCACTTTTTTCGACGAGCCTCACAAATAATATTTGGAAAGCGTCTCTCCTGTGTGAGGGTCACAGCGACCTCAATGAGGCCCCAGCAAGAAAGGAGACGCTGAGTGTGCGTACTAGGTCAAACAAGTTCCGAATGGGGGAGACGGGGGGTTTTTACTCTCATTTACTACGTTTAATTTCCAACGTTTGCTGTTGAAGTCTTTACTTTTATCCCTATACTAAAAAGTCGCCAAACCTGTAACTTTACCCAACAGGACAAATTTCAGGGCGAGGGGGGAGTTCTTTGTTAGTCTTTTGTTTCTTTTTTCGTTTTCCTTTCTTTTCTTTTTTTTTGATAGGCTACAAAAAATAATTTGTTTATTGTTGGTAAATTTTTGTAAAACAACTGACATTTTTTAGACGTTACTTCTTTTTGCTCAAAAGATACGATTAAAGGATAGCAATCTTACTTTTTATTCGAGGCCGCATTGAATATTGCTTGAAAATCGAACGTGTTACCTTGTTTTTTGTGTATAATATTGATTCAAAATTGTAAGTGCCACCTCAATACTGGCGAGCATAATACAATAATATTTAATAAAAAATGCCACAAAGATTTCTTTTTTTTTTCAACACATGCCAGAACAAGTCGTGTGGTGAAAGGTGTTTTACCTCAGACACTAAAAACAAAAGTAGTGCCATAATTATGCACACGTTTGACGTGTCTGAGCAAAAAAGCCTAGTTGTGATAATAATAACAATAATAATAAATGACATAATTTATATAAAGTCTCAACCCCGATTAGATAAATTACACAGGCTCTGAGAGGTTTACAATACAATACAATACAATGTACCTCGGTAACATAGCTCGTAAAACGTTGTGTTCGGACTAAACGAAAATCACTTCAAATATTTATCTTATTAATTTAAAAACAGAAATGACTTCAGCTGACATTTGAAAGAATCAAAAGGTTTCATCTCCCTTAAAATACTTGGAAAAGCATTCCAGTTTTGAGGCCTCGGTATTCAAAATACCCTATCACTCATTGTTTTAAGTAGAACATTTGTATATATCAAATATATCACAAAATCTTAACACACATGGTTGTATAATTTTTTAAATGTCCAGAAATTAAAACAGTCAGAAACACGACAAAATAGTATGAGCACTTAAAGAAGGATGCCTGTTGGCGCGATCACAACTCACAGTTTTTGTTTTTAGTTTTAGTAAGACTTTCACGCACTTGCAATACAATAAGGTCATATAAGTGTCGAAGAATAAAATGTGTTACAAGAGAGTAACATACACAAAAAAGAAGGAGGGGAGACAAGGACGATAGATGTTTGATAGGAAAGAAGGAGCAAACCACACGAGAGCCCCCGCCAACCACCCACACATCTCACTGTTGAATGTGACTCCATTCGACATAGAAATTCAATGACAATAATTAGTGTTCATATCATTGGGTTTCGGTGTCGAGTGACATCACATCATCATGCTAGTTGAATCTTCTGAATCATGTTTTATCTGCATACCCCTAAATTTATATAGTTCTAACACTAACAATGCTGAGAAGTTTTGGAAAAAGGCTGTCGTCATTTGTAAAAGTACGGTAAGCAGAGTTGTTTTTTTTCTTTTTTTTTGGGGGGGGGGTGTTGTTTGTTTGTTGTTGTTTTTTTTAATCAAATCATTTTACAGGAGAGCCAAAATACTATGAATGTGAATGTTCTTACCAACACAAACACAAGTAGACACTTTAAAGATAAAAGCCTACAGAAGTTATGATCAAAATGGTATTCTTTAAAATACTGACTGTGGATATTTGCGAAAAGTTTTTTTTCTTGGTAACAACAGTCAGTTCAGATTGTTGGCTCTGCTGTAAAATCGTAAAAACTGCATCGTTCTTTTAAAAGATGACGACAGAACGAAATTGCTGCCATGAGATTTCTCA